GTTCACCTGATTCTCTTAATGATAGAATAGTCACATCTAAATCTTGTGCATATATCCATTCATGAAACCATTTGCACGTAATCTCTGGTGGTTAGCATTAGGTACTTTAATATATGCTGGTGTGATAATGTGGCTCTTGGAAAGAAATGATAATGAAGTATTAGAAAATCGATCAATATGTTCTCAAATTGTTATGAGTATATGGTATTGCTTTGGTAATATTGTTGGATATGGTGCAGATTTTAATACACGTACATCTCCTGGACGTCTATTCACTGCTAGTTTATATATCTTAGGTTTGATATTAGTAGCATCATATACTGCTAATTTAGCATCTCAATTGACAATAGCAAAATCAACGGGAATTATATCTGGAATTGATGATATCAAAAATGGAAAAATACCATTTAATCGTATCGGCGTAATTGTACAGACAGCTGTGGAAGATTATTATTTAAGAGAAATATCGAATGGTGCTCCAAATTATTATCGATTATATACTGACACAGAAATGTACAACAGTAAATCTGAAGGTTTAATTGATGCATCGTTTATGGACAGTGGTACTGCTGAATATGTCACGAATAATATATATTGTAACTTAACTTTAGTTGGAAATGATTTTAATCAAGATATATTCGGTATTGTTATTTCTCAAGAATGGATATATGCACAAGATTTAGATGTGACTATTCTATCATTAAGAGAATCAGGTGAACTTGATCGACTGAGAGAAAAGTGGTTTCAAAGAAAGATCTGTCCCGACTCGGTTGTACAATCAGATGAGATTGGAGTTGAAGCAATATGTGGACTATTTTTAGTTTTTGGAATAGCTAGTATTTTATCTTTATTATTATTTGTATGGAAGAAACGACATAATGTAAAAAGTTACTTTTATAAGTTAATGCATAAACAAGAATTTCCAGTTGAAACAAGAGCCGCTGAAATAAGACCCTCGAATGAATCTTTCGAACGCCCGCAAGCGCCTCAACATACATCCATAGATCTGTGTTTTTTCTGAAAGAAAACTAATTATTGTGCGGAAAAAAAATTCATTATACAACTGCTACAACTTGAAAAGAAGACTATATGAAAATATCATAGAATTACATGTGACCTTCTTTATTATGACATTATCGAAATTTCTAATAGCTAACCTAAAATTTTATGCTTTTTATCGGAAACAATTCTTGAAAAGATGTCTCATGCTAAGCTAAAATGTATATGATATTAACCTATCAGTTTTTAATAAATTCCTTAATTCCATAAATTGCTAAAAATAGAAGATTTTATCGTGGTGAGAGAGTATCTTGAGTATGTTCGGATCAAATGACTGTTTTTACCAAGCGAATTAACAAACTTGAAATAGCAGCTGTCGATCAAGTACCTGGACAGACTTATTTAATTTTAAACTCATGGATTATTTGAGTACAAAAGTATAATACTATGATGAACTACTTTCATCAACTTTTAACATAACTAGGCAGCTTTTTTTTAGACAATATCTTTCTAAGATATTCATAAAAAAAGACCGAAACGAAAATGGTTGACAAAAGAACATTGAAATAACAAGTGTCAAAATAGAAAATATCAAAATTAAAAAAAATTAAAAAAAAATGATTGAAATGTAATAATATCGACAAAAAGAAGATCTAACGTATAAAACTGTGGAAAAATTAAAGCATGACGTAAATAAACACATTAGAGCATGGCCAGCTAATGGTCCCCTTCGCATTCGAAGGTTTAAAACTACAAAAGTGAAAGAAATCTGTCTCTGCAATCGAATGTACATTATCAACGAATTAACGAACATGTTGCAAGCTGT